GTGTGTGTGTGTGTGTGTGTGTGTGTGTGTGATGCCTTGTATCAAGAAAAGTGACAGTGAGGGGCTGCTGAAAAAACAGAACGGAGAGGGAGAGAGTGAATGAGCGTGCGTGCATAAAAATAGAGCTACAGCGAGGATACCGAGAGAGCGATGGAAGCTGCAAAGAGCAGACAGAAGACAGAGAGAGAGGCTGAAAGAGAAAGAGCAGTGGGGGAATTAGGAAAACCACGGAAGATGGTAGCGTGGCGGCTTTGCAGCTGGGTGGCAGCGCAGATTGTGGGGAGAGGATGAAGCAAAGGGGGACCGGTTGTAAAGAAGAGGGGACTGGAGAGCGCAACAGGAGAGAGGGAAGAAAAAGGGATGGAGAGGCTGACAAAATGGAGAGAGAAATCCGGAAAGAGGATTTAGATAGAGAGAGTGGGGAGAGACGGAGAGCAAGAGAGAGTGCAGGAAAGGGAGTGGTAATTGAGAAGAATGAAAGGCTAAGAGCTTTGAAGACTGTATTAGTTGTACTGTGTGAAAGGGCTATGGATCATTTAGTGACATCGATGTATTGGATTGGGGATAATGGGGATTTATGGTGGCACTTAAGACCATACGAGCTGAATACCGGCACAAATTGTCATAATGCGGGACGTGGGGCGGATGGCGAAGGGTAAATGGGCGTGTGTCCATACGGAGGTAGCGTAAGAGATGAGAGACACAGTGGTGGAAGAAATGCTCTGATCCTCGGCCGAACACGAAGACAAAACACTCCTCTACAAGTCCTGATGTAAAATTCTGCTCAAGTAGAAGTTCAGAATCAGATAACTTTGGATCAGAGTATAAAAAGTCATACCACTACTAATAAAGCAGAATGGCTCCTTTGAGAATCCTTTATTAAATACATTTGTCACATTGATCATATAATATCAGACATTCGCAGCTTTGAGGACGCGGTGCGGACGTAAGATTGAGAGGATTACAGCGTCAACAGAAGAAACGGTCTGGATTTGTCATTAACACCCTCTCAGAAATAAATAATTGAAAGTCAATCCAGCCACAATTACAGCAATTTGGGAAGTGGAACAAATCTAAGGCTGCAACGCTAATCTTCCTTATTGATTCCTCCGTCACATTCGGAGATGAATTGATTCACATTGGTCAATACGTCGTCAGGAAATGGTTGAAAATCTTAATCACAAGTTACAAAAGCAAAGAATGACGTCTTTAAATAATGTTTAGGATAGATTTGAATGGGAATGTCACTTCCCTTGACTGTGTCACAGAGCGAGTTACAGATTTATATGACAACAGACCGATAAAGCAACAAGAGTGAGAAAAATAAAACAGTAATAAGATCATTTCAACGAGTAATTCTATAAATAGATCAGTCAGGCTCCACCCCCTTGCTCCTCCAAATATGGTTACTTCTGGTTTCAAAAATCCAAGATGGCAAACTTGAGGCTCAAACCAATGGGTGACATCACGGTGCGTTGCCACAAGTCGAATTAGATTTCACAACAAAATGTAAATAGAGACAGACATCTGTCCTGTCGTCTTCGTAATCCAGTAAGAAGACTAATGAACTCTTTCCAAATCAGATGACCTCATGTGAATACTGGAATCACACTTCAGTGCTTTCACCGGCCGTAATCCGATTAAAGCCTAAAAGTGATGACTGCTTTGATTTTTGTATTTTTTTTTTTTTTTAAACCCTCATCCAGTGAGGGGCTTTCGCTGAGCAGGCAGAGCAGCACTAAGCCTTCCTTTACCTTCTATTCACAGATACACGTTTCCACACCTCCGAGTTGCCGAGTACACTCGGAGTTTTAGCTTTCGGTGCCTGAGCGGCTCCGCCAGAGAAGCTGGGGGTTAAGTGTCTCGTTCAGCTGGCAGACGTGTTGAATATTAAGGAGAAGTTTTACTTGCTCATTTCCTTTGCTTTCTCACACACACGTCCAACTGGTGTTTCTATTCAGTTGTTATTCATCCACAATAAGGCCGCAAGTGATCAGTCAATCTAATGATCTTTATCTGTTATTGAACGATAGTTTAGTTTGTAAAATGTCAAAAAATATGGTTTAAAAAATGCGAAACAATCAATCAGAGAAAATAGAGAGACTGCAAAAAAAAAACATCATTTTGCAGATTCCAAACGTGACCTAAGGTTCAGGGCATTCATTTCTTTGGGGGAATCATTTTGCGTTCCCTCCCAATACTTTTCTTCTTCTATTCCCACTGAGCCGTATGTCGTAGAGTGATGCTCGGGCCGCATTCTTCCGTCGGAACCCATCAGGCCCAGAGAGAAAACTAACCAAGCCCGACCCGGACCCGACAGGCGTCTTGTTTTTTGTGTCTGTATCTGACCCCAGCCTGATGCAGTTGATATAAGCTGCACCCTGTCGCAAAACATTTTGCGAGAGAAAGCAAAAGTAATCCTCAATTCCCTTCGGGGGGCTTTGGAAGTTTCACATGCAAATAAATCAGAATGTATTTCCTTAGCTCAGGTGACTGTGCAGGAATTCATCTGAACTGCTTTATTTTTGGTTTTTCCACACAAGATATCACAAATCTAAAAAGGTTTTATGAGACTAATCAATTAATTAACTTATTCCTTCACCTCTAATCCACACGCTCACCTAAAAGAGCCCAACATGCTGCACGCAGTAATTACTGCATCATTTTTTTTTTTTTGATTCTCCTAATATGATTATTTTATGGTGTATTGTACGCTTGAGGGTTGAAGCGTCAGCAGCACCAGCACCTCATCTGCATCGCATCACCACCTGGGGGGAAGTTATTCTCACGGATGTGACGATCGCCCACCTTCTCATTCTAGTCATAGAAGGTTTTATAGAAAAATGTGGGCACACCATTAAATTTTCATTAAGTGCTAGAGTATCGTCAAGCTTCAATATTTAAAGAAGGAGAACGCTGCACACTCTTCTACTAATTCTGGAAAAATATAATTGAATATTAATATATATATTCAATGATTCATTAAAACCATAACTGATGATATGATGTTTTCGTAATGATTTGATAATTTGTAAACTTTGCAGCTTACGTAATAATTATGAATCTTATTAGTAAAGTGTCACATCACTTTGTAATAAGGCGACGATATAATAAACTAATATTAACTTGGCAGATGATGGTTACGCAGGTTTAATTAAAACTGGATACACGGTCGTTTTTAATGAATTTAACCTGCGAGACCTAATGTGTTTTTATTTTATACTCATGGAAGTCTCAGCATCATTTGTCAGTGTCTCCGCTTCCTCCTGTTGTGAAAGATTGATGCGGAATCGTTGCGTGGGGCCCGGGTGCCGAGGTCTGATCAGTCTAAGCTGTCAATCACAATGTTTTCATATCATCAAATCACTCATTAAAACCAAACGTATCAAAACATGAACTCTCTGACAAACATCCGTGTGATAGAAACCAAAACCTGAAAATCACAGACACCGTCTTTGAGAGAACGTATTTCACGTGCGCTTTGATTAAATGAATGTCCCATCTGTTAACATGGATGAGACAAGTGACCATCAGACACATTGTTCACTCGTGTTACGTGGAAATAATTGGCCCGTGTGTTCGTATGGAGCGGTATCAGCATTCATTTAGTCATGTTTCTGTCCGCCTGATGAAAACCACCGCACTAAAGGCTCCACTATGTTCATTAGCTCGTCTCTAAATTTGCCATTTGGCGTTGGATAGATAGTTTACTGCAGAATTATTGTCAATAATACAGAGGTGTTGATTATACCTGCCCTTCAGCTCACTTAAATTACATCCAGCTATGCAGATAGATTTCATTTTATTTGTCCAGGTGTTGAGATTACCCCCGGAAACAGAATTTTGTTTTGCTGAGAAATTATATTATAAAAAAAAAAAAAAAATGTAACAACATCCTGGTTACTGGGGCTGAGCCACTAAAATACAACGGGGACAGATATAACAATATTGTACCATGCAGAGAAATATATCTCCTATAATCAATATTAACAAAATATCCCAGATTAATAAGGAGAATATTTCTGTTAGAGACAACCTGTCTAAAACACGTACTGTTTGTTTTTTGTAAATTTAACGACCTGTCCCTTTCGGAGGTAGTATCTATTAATTTATAAGTTGTATCGTAACTCAACCTGTTACTTCTCTCCATTCCAAATTGCTTATTGCTCCGCTTGCAGCCGCTAACACGCTCCTCCACCCTGATGATCCAATAATGAACTGAGGAAATGTGAATTATGAATAAATGTGCATCACTGCTGTCTTGGGAGAAAAACACTTAAAACTGACTGAATCTTATTTTTTCCCAGTAATGAATGTGTTGAGTCGGCTCCATGACCCCTTGGGCCTGAAAAACTTATTAAAACACAATTGTATGATTTTGAAAATACTGTACACAGGACTTGGTGAGTAAACAAACAGGGTTTCTTCATTCCCTAGTCTGTTTTTTGGAGATCCATGGTCTTTAATAAAAGGCGACTGTCTGTGTGCGGAGAGAGACAGAGACGTGGGGGGGTATCGTGAGGGACAGACAGTGACGAAAAGACTCCTCTGAGTGGCATAGGATTTTTGAAATGCTCCTGGAAAGTAAACTAATTTTCTCTGCGGGTCAGAGGACTGGTTATGGTAATAAAAAGAGAGATGTCATTAGATTCAGTGGTATTTGAAGAGTTCTCTGGAGGAGGAAGGCGGAGGAGGAGACATCTATAATATCTGTGTGTTTGAGTGATTGAAAAAGTGAGACAGTGTGTGTGTGTGTGTGTGTGTTTTCTAACCAGCTTCCCCGCTGCTCTCTCTGTCTCCTCTGTGTATATGTTATTCATGAGCTTGACCTACATGCGCTCGTGCCTGTGTGTGTACACGTGTGAACCTGTGTGTGTGACTCCATGCAGGAGAAAGCGATAAGGTTCTGGTCCACCCTGCAAGATTCACCAGCCACTTTCACGCTCTGACCGCCCAAGTTTGATATTCCCTACAATAGAGTGCAATCTCCGGATGACAGTCTCCACTGTGTTTCTGCTTTCGCACTCTGTCTGACTGTAGTGCTGCCGCTGTATCTCAGCCACACTTACACCTGCCTGGTTCCTCCTGTTTTGTGCATCCTGCACAGACTGCTGCTGCGGCGGCTGCTGCCAGGAAATTAAAATGAAGGGAAACAAAGCAAACACGGACGTGCTTTTTTATGAGAATGTGTGAATAATATAACTCATTCGCACCGTATTACAGACCAGTTTCATACACTCTAATTTAAGAAAAATATGGCTGAAACAGATTGCAGTTAAGATGCTGTGGATTTTCTTCACTTGTCAGGGTAAAATTCTGTTCTCTGGTATTATATCATGTGAATTGGAAGCTATCTCCTAAGCAACAGCAAGGGAGAGTCCAAGGAAAGCTGGACTTAGCAGCGTTAGATGAGTCTCGCTCGTCCCTTTGGTGTCTGTTAGCATGGAACATCACAGGCTGGCCTGGTTAGTAAACATGAGAGTGCTGTGGGCAGTTTACTGATGTTATATTACAGGGGTTCTGGGTACCGCAGGGAGCTCCGACCCCTGTTCAGTTAACGCCCGCTGCCATTTGGAGCTGCTGACATGCAACATTGACTTTTGAGGATCGCATGAAGTGGCTTTGAGATTGAAATTTTCTTTAGAAGTTTTCCCAAGATCCAGGAGGCTGCTGCAGGACGTCAGACTGAGGGAATATGAAAAGTCATGTTACTAGAAGAAGCTTTTCTTGTGTGAGCCTCTTTAAAAGAGGGTAAATTCAAGAGCATTGCAAAAAGAACAAATTCAGAGATTTAAACAAAGTTAAGGAACTGTCTCTACTCCCCCCCCCCCCCCCCCCCCCCATTGTAAAATATCCAGTATCGTGTTGTGGGGCCACGGCATCGAGGTCCGGCTGATTCATGCACTTGACCAGTCGCTGCCTAAACTGTCAAAATAACTAATTAAAACCTAACCTGCAGGAAAAATTAATTAGGTCTGTGTCTCATCTGCTAACATGGATGAGACGGGATTTATGACATTAAACGAACACATTGAAAGGTTTGAATGTAGAAATGTGGTTATTTCCATCATTGATTCAATTAAAAAAAGAAATGTTTAATATTTATTGACTTGCGTCGTATGTTTATCAGTAACTTGTGTTTATCAGTTATGACTTTGTGTCAGGCGACTCATCAGTAAACTTTTTGCTCAAATCGAATGTCTGGCAGCCGAAAGAGAAGAACAAACATCTGAGTCATGTTACTCCTGCAAGACCTAGTTACCTTGCAGACAAATATGCAAGCTGCAGGTTTTATGCGATGAGCCGTTTCATTGAATATAACGTTATACATCACTGAACGAGTAAGCGGGAGAAAAACGAGGAAAGATGTGATATCGCTACGAAAAAGTGCAGAGATGCTTAGTTACGAATAAAGTGCATGTGGCATGTAATGACAGATGCAGAAGGGCACGAGGTAACTGCACAGAAAGGCATTTTTCATTTAATGGGAACAAATGGGGGTCACTGCACCTCTGTACACTTCCACAACACGAAACCACCTCATCCTAATTACTGTAAAGGGTATGTTTCTCCTTCAGAGCTTATGTGTTCTATATTTATTTCGTCAGGGCTGTACTCGCCCCTGGTTAAGATGCAGACGCCTTCGTCCTCCTGACTGTCCCCTTCTCTTTTTTCTCTTCGCCCCTCTTCACCTTTAGGACGCTCGAACGTGGTGGAGCCGGTTCCCGACGACCCCACATACAACGTGAGCAGCGAGCTCACGCTGGAGGTGAGCCGCAGCGACGACAAAGCCCTCATCACCTGTGCCGTCGACCATCCGTCTCTGGCCCCCGGGGACAAGAGGAGCGAGCAGGCTCTGCGGGTGCTGTGTGAGTCAACTGGGACTGTGGGAGAGGGAGAAGGGGTGGGTCAGACTTGGTGAGAGAGGCAGAGGACAGCACAGACGACAGATGTGAGAGGGGAAATGTAAAGCAGGACCTCAAACTGCTCTGGTTTTCCTTTCTCCCTTGCTCCTCTCTTTATTGAGCGGTTCATGCACATCCCTCCCCTCTGCAGTTTGATCTCTGCACCGGTAATTTCACATTAGCTCCCTGTAATAATGACCACACAGGAACTTAACCTTCCTCTGCATGTGCACTTGCCCAGAGTTGAGTCACAGTGGAAAAGGAGAGTTATCATTTGAAATAAAACTATAAATGGAGCCTCGTTGGACTCTGTGCTGGTGCTGCCACCCAGTGGGGGAGCCGCCGGTACTGCGTCTGCGAGGGAACGTGATGCCGTTGTATAAGCAGTTATGTCATTGTAGGAGGCAGAGGGACGGCGACGCCTACAGGATGCAGACGGGAGTAGATGGCGACAGGGATGAATGAGACTGTCGGTGCTTTGTCTCTGTGGTTTAAACTCATGAATGTTGTGTAACTTTACTCTGTTGTGTGTCTGTGTGTGTGTGTGTGTGCGTGTTTGTGTTTTGTCTTCCACAGATCCTCCTAACGTAGAAATCCAGCCTGAGAGCGATTTGCCTAGAGAGGGGGAGAAGTTTTATCTCGAGTGTTTGGGCAACAGCAACCCAGAGTAAGACACATGCACACAAACCTGCAGTGGAAGTAGAAGAAGTACACAAACATGCAAACGCACTGTTTCTGCGCCCACACACTCTCGCAGCATGCACACACACACACACATATGCAGGCACAGGTGTTAGGACACTCAGAGAGACAGCAGGCAGTGTCACATCTCATTTAAAAAGCCACAACTGTTGGTTTGTTTAATGGTATAAAATACAGATTTTAAGGGAATAAATAAAAGTTAACAACATCCTTTAAAGGATATGCGTTAGTTATATTGCTAAAAAAAAGCAATAATCACGTTTCAACATTTCCGGGCAGTTTGCGACGTAGCCACGGCTGAAATCTCTGCATGTCCAACATCGAAGAAGACATTAAAGAGAACACACACACCAGCACGTGGCCCGTCTGTGTGATGGAGCAACACATTCTCTTATCATTAGGTTAGGATCTGTTTAAGTTTGGGCAAATGACCTCATCACTGAAGGAAGCTAAAATACTCGGGATTCAGGTGCCATCACTTTTGACATCATTTGGTGAATCTGAACATTAGTGATGTCGTGTTTGAAGTGCCGCTGTCACTCATGACATTTCCTGACGATCTCATCGCATCAAATAACTAAGTAAAACCGAAATCTTAAGAACCGCCTTATAATCACAGAAACCGTATTGGAAAAATATTATTTTCTTATGTCCCATTCACTTACATGGAGGAGGCAGAGTTTATAACCTATATTGCAGCCAGCCACCAGGAGGCGATCAAGATGGCTTCACACATAAGGAGCTGTCCTGTCCTCTTTATGGTACATGTATAGTATTATGTAAAGTACTTATACGGTGTGTTTGAAGCCTTCTCATGATCTCATGTATATCTGTCACCTTCACTTCATCCAGCTGTGATTTCTTGACAGTATTATTATTATCCATTAAACGTTAGTGTGCAAAAAAAAAAACACCCACTCACATCGATCGACAGTGATTCAAACGTGACACAATGAACGTGGACGAAAGCTGCAGGTGAGAGAGAGCGCCACAGTTTCAAACGTGACGAGAGAAGAGCAGAGTTCTCTACTGGAAATGGGAAAGAAATCATTTGCTTTATTTTATTTTTTTAAAAACCTGCGTATACCTGCTGCTGTAAAAAGATGTTATAGATAAACTCTTCCATAAAACCTGTTTCCTCTCGCACGTTGAAAGAAGCCTTGGTTCTATTTAACAGGTGAGTCTGTAATCAAAGCTTTTACCAGAGTCATTCAAAGGTTTCAGCGTATTCCAGAGGCTTCACACTGGAATTCATGAGATAGTCACATACATAAACACACATTTACTGAATGTGTGTCAAAATACTTGGCAGGTACACAATCGTAAAACTGAGGGAATAAAATCCTTTAATAATGCACACACAGGCGACAAGTGCAGCAACAGCAGTGTGTGACACACACATGAACACACTTTCCAGCACTCACACATTACCGTGTTCAGTTTCTGACACCTTCCATCCTTCCATCCTTCCATCCTTCCTTCCTGAGTTGTCCTCACTTGTTACAACACGACACGCACATATGCACACGTAGGCGCAGTTAACGGAAACACCTGCTCGTACCAGCGCTCGCATGTTCGCTGATACACCTTGTTCACAAACTGAAGCCGTGCGTCTCAAACCCTGCCCACACAAGTGCACTCTTTCCCCCTGGCCTTTCTGCATTATAGATGAACCTCCAGCCAACCACTCCTATTGATCCACTCCCTCCTCCTCCTCCCCCCACCCCCTGTCCCTGCCTCCCTCCATCACCGTGTACCTCTCTCCGCCGCTGTGTCACTCACAGCTCGCTCGCCCAGCTCCGTCTAGTCACGACGCCCTCCCCGCCCCGCCCATCATCCTCCTCCTCTCCCACGTCCTTCCCTATAACTCTCCTCTATCTCTCCTCGCACCTTTTTCCCTCCGAACATCCCCGTCCCTCCTCCCCTCTCCCCCCCCCCTACTGTCAGCTCGTCACAGCAATGGCGAAGGAGCAAGACCAGCCAGTTAGTTTGATTGGCGGCTGGAAGGGATAGGAGGCGGGGGAGAGAGAGGTGACTGTCATCGAATGTACACGCTTTTGCAGGCAGCGAGGAATTGAGTCAATAAATT